TTCTGGTCAAGAATACCTGCTGCGTTGGATCACCATCGAGATAGTCGATGGGGTTCGCGTCAGGAAAGATATCCTCGTGAATCTGGCGGTAGAAATCTCTAGTCCCGCTCCAGCGGACGCGTTCTTGAAGAAGGTGTCCTCGAACTCCTTGAATTGAGCGTTTCTCCCGAGATGGCTGGGGAAGTCAAAGATCTTCGGTTCCTGCGGCTGCCCGCGGTTGAGCAGGAAATCACTGTCCTCAGCGTTTGAGGCCGTGCGCTCGTTTTTCGTTCCTACTTGACGGAAACTCCTCCTCCTCCTCCTCCTCCTCCTCCTCCTCCTCCCCCCTCCTCCTCGTCCCCCTCCTCCTCCCCCTCCTCCTCCTCCTACTTTCTTGCATTATCGTCGATTGCTGATGGACTTCGCTTCCTTCGCATCGTCAACTCATCAGGGTCATCCTAGCGTCGGCATTCAGGTGACTTTCCCATCCTCGTCCTCTCTCTCTCATCGCCTCTCCGGCAGTTGAGGACGGCGACCATGGAGGGGCATGATCTTACGGTAAGAGGTGCTAGTGGAGGGCAGGAGGACTGACGGGAGGTGAAAGGAACTTGTTCGGGGTATGGACGCGTTCGCCTGGAAGGACTGGATCAATTCGTACGCTCCTCTCCCTCCTCCTGCAGGTCCAGCTGACCTTGAGTAAGGTTCTGGAAATGTGCCTTCCTGTCGAGCCCGAAACGAGCTGGGACAGCGTATTTCATCGCGTCAGGTGCTACAACAAGAAAATCATCGTCATCTTCATCACCACCACCACCACCATCTCAATCATCATCATCACTACCACCACCACCATGTCAATCATCACCTCAAATCCTCATCAACATCAACATCAGCACCACCATCTCAATCCTCTCCTCAATCATCATCAACATCATCATCACCACCACCATCTCAATCATCACCTCAATCATCATCAACATCTGGATAACAAACTCCTTGCCCTCTCCTTTCTCACTCTCATGAACCTCCAGATAGCGTGAAGGCCAAGAGCCTTGCAGACGCAACTCTTGGCAACGTGAGGATTTTCTTCTACCTCACCATAACATGTTGCTAACCGACTCCTGTCTTGCTCCTGTTCAGCAATCTTTCTGGTACAAGCAGGTAAGCTGGAGCTCAATCGAAACTGTCAAGCTGAAGCTCACGACCCAAAGGTGATCACTCGCTCAACCATCTCAGGACACGCTACGGCTCTCATCGACCTCCTCATCCTCAGGTTCTACCCTCTCCTCCCTCGCGTTTCCTCCCTCTCCCTCCCCTCCTCCCTCCCTCCCTTCCTCCCCTCCCACCTTCACATCCCTTCCTCTCACTCCTCCTCCTCTTCAAGTATCTCATCGCCTTGACTCCCTACAGCATGTGTGACGATCTCGTCACCACCACCATGTCAACCTTCGGCTACGTCCCTGCTGGACTCACCAACAAACGTCTTACCCCTCCTCCTCCTCCTCCTCCTCCTCACATGCCTGCAGCTCCTCTCGTCGTCTCCTACCAGTCCACATGTCTCCGGGAGATCACCAGCCAACCGTGCTTCCACAAGTCTCTTCCTTCCAAGGTGCTTCATGGGCTGACAGCGCACGGCAGGTGGGGATACTTGATGGAGGCAGAATGCTATGATAAGACGGTGACAAGCTCGCTGAACCTGTGATTTGACCTGGTTGACCTGCTGATAGGAGATGATATCTCCGGAAGTGCGAGTTTGCGGGCTGTACTCACCTCCCAACATCCTTCCAGACGCCGTGATGTAAGGAGGACGTTCGACAGTTAACATTGAAAGAGTTTAATGAACACTAGACCACAACCATCTCTACATCACAAGCTTGATATTCACATGTCTACTTACAAGAAGAAACAAATAAAGGAAGAAAGGAGACTAGAAGAAGGAACATCTACATCCTTGTCAACGTCTCGTGACTCAGTGCGGTACACCATGGCAAGTAGACGGAGAAGGATCCCGTACCTGGATGATACGGTCAACGACTGTTAGCAGATACTAGCTAGACATGCACGAGCAACACAAAAGACTTTATGGTTCCATATAAGGCGCCGGCAACCGCATCTCCGACCCCCTCTTGTCCGAATCCAACGTTTATGTATGCAACCCGGAAAGAGAGGAAAGCGACATAGATGAAGCTCCTCAGGCAAGAGATTGCAATATCAATCCACAAACATCAGTGAAATCATCACAGCCACCACCATCAACATCGCCGTCACCATCATCGCCATGGATCATTTTGAGCAGCGAATAGGCAGCATGGTTATCAAGAAACAAGCTGCAGGTGTGCCGCACAAGCTATCGCGAGCGATGTAACGACAACTTCATAGAGATCAGGTGCCGCTATTAGAGCTCGCTTTCATTGCACGCATAGACTCGCCTTACCTACAACCGTCGCTCATACCCGCACAGGAAGAGAGATAGAGGATGGGGCTGGTGAGAGAGCGAGGAGGGGAACAAGAGCATGGCCTCCTCCTCCTCCTCCTCCTCCTCCTCCTCCTCCCTCATCTCCATCTTCTCCCTCTGCTCATGGCACGTGAATCCTCTAGACCGTTTTTCCCACCGTTACAATATATCTCATCAAAATTTAACGGAAATGTAACGCCTGGTGTACGGATCATGACCGAGCACTGCGCCAGCGTCTCTACACGTTCGCGGGGTCATGCGGGGATGTCCAGCTGGGGATGATGCTGGGGAGGAACGGGACAGACGGTCCCGTCTTGAACCTTGCGACGACACCAGCACTTCTTGCTCTGCTGATCAATCTTCGTGCTCTTTGTGCTCTCCATGCTCTCACACTGCTCCTTCACGTTCACCATCACGACCCTCCGATTGCCATGGCGGCATCCTTGCACTCCTCGGATCGGAAGGTCCTTCCTCACAGACCCCTTAGTCCTCCTCCATGACTTGTGCTACTTTGAGCTCTTTCCCGTCTCTGCCTCTCTGTCAGACCTGGTGTCTACTGTAGCTGCCAGTGCTTCTCAAAGCACCTTCTTCCAAAAGAAGAGAAGTGAACGACGGGCTCGAAGTTCTCTCAACAGATCATGATACATGTTGCTACGAGATACTTGCAGACACCGAGACTGTTCATCGCTCATTCCCCGCAGTGTGGACCATCTACTATTCATGCTCCCCTCGCCATCGCAGCGGATTCCTCGCTAGTTGTCAAGAGCCGCATGAGAGTTGTATGAGGGCGAGCGATAGACGTGTATGTAGATCTCGAGCTGTTATGGGACAGTGGGATTTGTCAACCATCAAGGGGAGAGGTTCAGCGAGAATAGATGATAAGTATACCCAATCTACGTTACGTTCAGCAGTCGGAATCCACTGCCAGAGTTCGAAGTGAGAGAATGATAATAGAGTGATCTTGGCGTCATGCAATTTCGTGCGAGAACAACCTCTTGCCTTTCTCCATTCTCCTCTTCTTGTCTTTCTCCATTCTCCTCTTCTTGTCTTTCTCCATTCTCCATTCTCCTCTTCGTCGTCGCCCATCTTCAGATGATGTGAGTTCTTGAAAATCTTCTTTCCACAATCTCTGCTCTTCTTCATCAACAGCATCGTCACCCTGTCTCTCTTCTATCTCCTCCATGTCCTCCACCTCTCCGCATGGCTCTCCTCCTCTCCCTCCCCCTCGCTCCCTCATGACCGGCCAACCGGCGGGTTATCCTATGACCTACCCCACCCGATGTATTTTCGTAATTTTGTATTGAACCCGTGGTTCGAAGTACATAAATTACGGTGTATCACCCCTTTTCTTGTACCCCTACCCCCTTTCGAAATTTTACTTGCAAGTCATTCAGCCCGATAGTAGAGAACCAGTCGTGGCATGGCGGGGTAGGATGGAGGAGATGGAGGAAGGGAGGAAAGCAGAGCACAGCAGAGCACAGCAGAGAGAGGAGAGGAGAGGACTAGAGTCTATGGAGAGATGGAGAAGATCGCAAGAGGAGGGGTAGAGGACAGCAGGAATTGTGGGCAAGAGATGAGCGTTCAGGTAGAGTCGAGGTTCGACCATGGGAGCTCGCTCTGGTAAGGTGGGTGGGATAGGCTGCCTGGCGACCTGTATGGAAAGAACGCGAGGATAAGAGCATGTAGCCCAAGAGCGTGAGAAACTTGAACGCATGACGTTGCTCATAGTTGAAGAGAAGTGGAAATCATTCACAAGATGGTGAATTGATCTTGATCGCTTGCGCTGAATGGTCTTGACAGATGACAATCATCTGATACGCGCGGGTGATAATCTTGTGCACTGTTGTCCGATAAGAGGAGGAGAAGTGCGGTGCATCATGAGGGCTTTTGCGTTCCTTCACTTTACATGCCTGCTTTTGCTGGTCATGAAGTGCCCCTCGACAACGAAGGCGAGACCTCTGCTGTCCACGTCGATGCGACTGACTCGCCGCATGTGAAAGGGACAAGAGAGGAATGATCCTGACAAGATGACCGTCAAGGAGCTGAAGAAAGAGCTGAGCGAACTCGGGGTCGCATGCAAGGCTTGCTCTGAGAAATCAGATTTCATCGAGAAGTGAGAAGGGCATGTCATCGCAGGGACATGTGCTGATGTGCTTCGACATGACAGATTGAAAGAGGCTCGAAAGAGCGCGAACAACAAGTTTCCCTTCTGTGCCCCGAAGAAATCATGCAGGTTCCGTAGCTATGCTCCTAGAGCGAGGAGGCGATTCTGACGAGAGCAAAAGGGAAGGATGTGAAATCTGCTCGTTACCCTCCTCTCAGTCGGAATCCATTTGCATAGCGATCAGGTGAGGGGCTAGTGGATGAGAGAGAGGAGGATTGACGGGAGCGTCTCAGCTTTTGCGAGTGGAACCGACCGACGACTCCGAGGCTCGAGGGATCACACAAGGACAGGCAGAGGGTGAGGGGAGACCGTAGCAAAGATAGGACGACGCAAGAAAAGTACAAAAAGAAGACTGAGACACGTAATCATGTCTTTGTTGCTGTCATCGAAACAGTATCAGCCTACAGCATGTCGCTGACGGACTCGTTAAAGGACCTCCGCAACCTTCTAGATCGAAACCTCCGAGGGATGCCGGTAAAGTAAAACGCGAAAGGGAGGAGCCAACAAGGCGGAATGGGTATGGAGATGAAAGGCCACCTCCAAGCAGGGCAAACAGCGATAGGATTCAGAACGACTTCAGCACGGGAAGCTCTCTGTCGCTGTTCCAAGTCGCTTCCAGCGGTGATATTTACAATTGCACTTCTGGTGATTTCACAAAGTATTCAGGAGACGCTGTTGCCGTTCGATCAGCTATCGAGAGAGGACTTTCAGTCAGGTGGTGGACCATATGTGTGTCGGGAACTTGTCTGCCTGCTCCTTTCCTGTTTCTTCCTCGTTTTGCTCTCTTTGACTTGGGCTGCAGCGTTACCGATGCGAGAGGTGCCACACCTCTTCATTACGCTTCATGGTGCGATGACTTGCCATGGGTCGTGGAATCTGAATTCTCACCCAGGTATGGACATGTGTCAACGGTGGAAGTACTCCTGTCGGCGAACGCTCCTATCAACGCGGGTTGTTGCCCCCTGTTGGCGATGGGAGGGTAGAGGCTGAGAAGTTTTCAGTTTCGGGCGATGGTTTCACTCCACTCCATCTCGCCGCAGCCTTTGGACATGCCTCCGGTGAGATCATGGAGCTTGTTGCTTCGCCCTCGTCACCCTCAGCCAAGTTGTCCGCGTCCTCCTCAACGCTGGCGCCGATAGAAATCGGTTGGATCGAGATGGAAACTCAGCGTACGAGCTTGCTCGACGTGGTTCACACAGGTTGACGAGATAGATTTGCTGAGAGATGATGATGATGACCACGACGAGGATGATGGAGATGAAGTTGATGATGGCGGTGTGAGATGGAGATGGAGATGACGAATCTCACAGCGGCGTCATGCAACTTCTCTCCGGTTCTAATTTGATGAACAACAACGACCGAGGCAATAACGAGCGCCAGGTTTCAAACTTCATCGCGGCACTGACTGAACTCAGTGTGTGTCAGGTCTGTACAGTAGCGTATGCGAAGCTAGGCTTGTGCGCGCCTGACGAGCAGACCAAGTCACTCGTGAGAAACACCTTTGATGATGTTCACGAGCTGAGATGGAGTGGAGGTGGAGGCAGAGGAGCGAGAGACGGCTGCAAGAGAGGAGATGCTCAGGATGGAGGAGGACAGGAGGAGAGCGTAAGCGAGCATGAGCGACTTCTGCCATCCTTGTGAGAGCAGCTGCAGATATACAGGGGATGACGGCTCCTACCGGCAAAGGGCAGGACATGAAAGGGGAGAGGTCAGCGGGTATCCTTGCTTTTGCTGTCGTGACGTGGAAACAGGACAAGAGGCATCGAGGTCCCATCCTCGTCAACAGGGACATGCAAGCTGAAGTTGGAATGAGAGTCCGCAAGTCGAAGGTCAGGCGCTCGACAGCCTGGAGAGACTCATGTAACGACCTGCTGCAGGAACGACTGGAGTTTGTTCAGCAGAACGGCTGGGAGGACCTCAGCGAAGGTCGAGCGGGGAGCATCGTCTCGTTGCTGGTGAGCAACCGAACACGAGATCGTGTCTCCTCAGTGTCTTCAAAGCTCACACGTGGTATCAGGGAGATGGGCGGCAGTGCCTGGTGAGATGGGACAACGGCAACGAAAACGAGTATGCCATCGGCTACGGGGACTTGTACGATCTCATCCTTGACAGCGAGAAGTGATTGGAGCTATGAATTATTCAAACCACGATAGAAAGATTGTACCCCCTTGACCATGGTCATGACTTTCATCCCTCCTGTAATGCATGTGCTGTCTTGCAACCCTTGGCCGCAGAACCATTCCAACGGCCCCGTCTTGTATCCTATCTATATAAACCCAAGAAACCTCGCACCTAGAAACTTCTTCTCATCGTCGTCGTCTTTCTTTCTTGTTGTCGCTCCTGCTCTTATCCGTTGAGATAGCTGTTGAGGTTGTACCCCGTCTTCCCTCCTGGCCAGCAGATTCCATTTCCCTTGGCCGTGCGGATGCAGGCAGTCTGCACGCCGCCAGCGGAGGGAGAGGCCTTGTTGAGGGTGACCCAGCCAGCGCTCTTGCGGGAGCATGAGTGCGTGAAGGCTGGATCGAGGCAGGCGAGCGATGGGGAAGGAGGAGTGAAGGGCATGCCCGCAGTATGGTATACCAGCTGCATGGCGCCTGAAGGGTAGTCCTGCTGGGGGGTGGGGGGTGTAATAAGGTTGGGTAGAATGGAACGGGTCAAGAATCGAACAGTCAATTGAGGGGTATTATACTATAAGAAAGAGGGGTACTCCTACTTCAATTGAGATGGAAGTGGGGGTGAGTTACGAAAAGAATAGGGTAGGGGTAGGTATGCCTCTTCAGAGATTACCCGCCTCCCCACTTCAACTGATCGTTATGAACGGTTACAAAACTCAGAGTAGGTTGCTTTTACTGTCAATACATGAGAAGAAGAAAACTCAGAAGAAACTTGTCGGGCTTCACGCAGTCATCTGAGAGAACAAGCACAGCAGTCAGAAGAGGAGAGGGGAGGGGAGAGGAGGAGAGGAAAAGAGAGAAGAGGAGAGGAAAAGAGAGAAGAAGAGAGGAGAGAAGAGAAGAGGAGAGGAGAGGAAACAGAGAAGAGGAGAGGAGAAAAGAGGAGAGGACCGAATGGGAGAGGAAAGGAGCGAAGAGAAGGAGAGGCAGGGAGGAGGAGGGGTTTGAACGCACAGGAGCGGAGTCAGAGGTGAGGAGCTGCTCCTTGTTCACTCTGTCGAAGACTGCTCCTCCTCCAAACACTGACCGCACGTCAGCACAGCGCATGCGAAACAACTTCTGGCTCCTTACCAATGGCTCCATCGCCCATGAGGCCAACAGGCTCCCGAGGTTCCTTCTTCTCAGCTCGCTAGGAATACGTGAGGAGAGACAAAGAGCAGGGAGAGGAAGAAGAGAAGACAAGAGGGTTGAGAACGAGGAGAAAGAGCACAAGACGAGAACGGTAACGAGCAGGAGGAGGAGGAGGAGGAGGAGGAGGAGGAGGAGGAGGAGGAGGAGGAGGAGGAGGAGGAGGAGGAGGAGGAGGAGGAGGAGGAGGAGGAGGAGGAGGAGGAGGAGGAGGAGGAGGAGGAGGAGGAGGAGG